CTGAACTACAAGCTTTTTAAAATGCGGACTAGACATCAAAATTTAATTAAAATTTAAGATTATTTGATTAATAACTCTGTGAATAGTTATCAGTTCATCAAAAAAGAGAAAAACCGAAAAAACTCTCAAGACAACCATACTCGTGCGTAGAGATGTTAGCCGCCGCCTTAGATAGAATTTGTTTTTGAAGCTTTTCGCCGCCGCCGATAAAGTAATCGGCTAACATCTCTACTCGTGCGAGTACTTATGGGAGGTACTTTTGAAAAATTGCATGAGCGAATTTTGCGCTGAAATTTTGCCTATATATAGGCCGATGATCCTTAGAATATTCCCAAAGTTTCGGTCAAAACAACTGTTCTCTGCACGATATACTTGGTTTTCAAAAAACGCTCATATTGTACAAAATATTTTAAATATCAAGATTTCTTGAGAAGCTAGTATCTCGTGAAGAGACCATTAGTGTTGATTAAGAAACTTTATTCTAAGGATCATTAGACATATTTATAGGCAAAATTTCAGCTCGAAATTCGTTCATTCAATTTTTCTAGAAGTACCTTGCATAAGCACAAAAGCTTACGAGAGAACCTATGGAACTGCCCCTCTCCGATTCCAGTGATTCATATATGGATCGATAGACCATAGTGAGGTAGTAAATACCCTAAAAGGATTGGGTCCATGACTCTTGAAGACCCGGTTTTCCAGAAAGCCAGTTTTTCGGAAACTCTAAAAAATAGCTAAAACCTTTTCTTAATGAGCATATTGTCAAACAACATTTACTCGATAAAACCGATGACAAAAGTAGTCATACAGCGGGTGCTTGCCATCGAGGTCTTGGAACAATTGCACGAGTGGATGATGACTATGATCCAGCAATGGTATTCATCAAGCAGGCAATCCAAATTGTTCGACGACTTCCAAAAAGAAGAATAACAGCTGAATTAAGATGTTTTCTTGATATTGTTGGTGCATATCAAGAAGGAGACTGGTATGATAGAGTATTATTATTTTATGAGCAGATATTAGAACTACAAAAGTCAATTTATGGTGAAGATCGTATTAATATTGCACAGACGTATCACAATATGGTGAAGCATCCAGGAAACAAGAAAGATTTGACGATGATTTGGATTACTTTGGACGGGCATTGCTTATTTGGGAGAAACATTTACCTCCAACGCGTTCTCACATTTTACATGTATTGGAAAATATGAGTGTGGTTTACTATATGAAAGAGCTTTAGAAATTGCTTTAACAACATTACTGATCACACATTGTTCACTTGGTGAAAGTAATGGTCAATTAGCAGTTATATATTTTACAAAAAATAGATATGAATCATCATCATCCTATTATTTAATTATATTGATGTTGATGCAAGGTATCAATAATATCCGATTCAGTCAACAAAGATGTTGGACGCTGAATAATTCATTATGGCATGCCCTTTCATAAATTTTGAAAACTATCTATGATGTATATAGGGCCTATATACAGCATTACTATTTTTCGATTCTTCGTTTTGATTAAATATGGCGTTTGAGCACTTTTTCTCTTCCTGTCGACATGTTTAATTAGTTCAATCACTAGAGAAAACAACATCTTATAAAAAAGAAAACCTTCATTATATATAGAGAGATGAGAAGTGCGGACTTAATTTTTGATTATTTCACAGCATTCTTTTCTCTGTTAGGCATTCTATTATCATTGATCTTTATTCTAACTGTCGCAATCAATCGTCGATGTCATACTGTTCATAATTTTCTACAATGTAACACAAGTTTGGCTGCACTCATCTATTGTTCATATTGTCTCACACTCATCATTATTATTCTAAAAAGTGATTATAAAAATCGAGCGACGGTATTTTTCTTTAATGATACCGTGTGTGGTTTGACCGGTTATTTGATTTATTCGACTATTGCACTGTTGTACACCTCGTACGCTCTGCAAGCAATCAGTCGATTATTCTGCATTGTTTACTACAAATCAAAACGGTTCAAATCCTATCGTTCTACACTGTACATGATACTTATCCAATGGTGCGTCTCATTTACGCTCGACATTTGGCTTTGGACATCAAAATCTGTTCGTTATCAATCAGATGGAAAACTGTGTCTCATCTCATTTAATAGTCTTTGTGTAGCCATCTATCTCAGTTTTACCACCTATCTTCTACCAACCACATTGATTCTCGTCATTTATCTTTGGATCGGTCAATTTGTGAGAAATACCGGTCAAAATACTCGTCCACGTCAACCTTCTTTGTTTCTGCAAAAACACGCCGAAGAAATGCATGCGTGTGAAATTACGTGAGACACGGAAATTTTACAACAGGTTTTTGCAAAATAACGGACCTGAATTTTTGCAATTTTTTGCAAAAAAATCTCTCGAAATTTCGACATGGGCGGTTAACCGTCCGGTTAACCACAAATCGTGAACTGACACAAAAATGCTCGGTTAACCGAACGCTGCGCGGTTGATATTATTCAACCGCGGTTAACCCTTCGGCTTGTCGTTGTGTAATTTGACTGTCTGAAATGAAGAAACTTATTATTTTAGGCGCTGATGTTTTTCTAGCTATCAATCCTTGTTATCTATTTCACATCGATCTGGTGGAAAATTAGGAAAGCGACTCTTCTCGATCGCGTTTGTGCAAATGACTGGTTTTCGAGATCAAAATCAAATAACGTGCACGTGAAAGGACATGGCTTGCAACAAATCGAATTTACCTGTCGTTGATATCACTCGCCTAATCTTTCGGCTTGATAGTGGGGTAGTCGTATCTGTACTTCGTCCCAAATAGATCGAAGAAAGAAAAAAAATAATAGACAAAGTATACAGTTGTTAAACTGACGTTTTTGCATGACACACGCTGATTTTACTGGTGAATTCACGTCCTCGTCAGAAACCAAACTTGAATCACAGTCGAATAGCGCGGTTGCTTCTAAATATTACGATTGTTATAAAAAATGAGTGCAGTTGATGTGCCACTCACTCACGTGCTGACGAATTTTTCGTTGATGGTTAGTCAAAGCAGAATGTCGGTTGTCAACGGCTTCTAATGGTTGACGAACAGGCTCCGGTTGCTTCTTAGAAAACTAGAACCAACACGAAAGAGAATAAAAGAAGGATCATTACAAAAACTGCATACCATCTGGTCGATAGAGAAGAGAAAGTCCATTGAGCGCTTGTGATCGATTTGATCCAGTTCATGTGTAATCTTGCGAACAAACTCGCTCGCTGTTCCTTTGATATAACGATCATCCAACAGCTCAACGATCAGAGCATATGGAATGTTGTTGGCAACGGCCACGAGTGACGGATCGATACCGTCATCGATCTCTGACAAACAGGTGGTGATCGCGCGCTGTTATTCAAATTAAACTTTTTTCGAATCGTTTCCGGATATCCATGCATATCAGCGAAAATTGTCGGCTCCTTCAAACGGTGCACATGAGACAGGACATCAATTGAATACCGAAATCGCCTCATGCGTCTAATATAGCTGCTGCGCGATTCTGCGCTCGTTGGAATTCTGGAGGCAATACACCGTTCATTGGAGCCCCGTTAATAGTACGAACATTGGATTTTGGCGGAATCACGAAGTATCCAACATCAATAATAATGGCTTATCTAGAATATCAGATGAAAGAAATAAAACACGAAATACATTTTCTGCTGAACATCAGCTAAAACATCGAATGTAGATTTTATTCGCAAAATATTTCTCTAAAAAGCTTGACATAAGAGTCGATAAGGCTCGACCGATGTGAATAGAGATAGTTTTCTCATTTATGCATCGGATGCATGTTCTCTTTGTTGAAAACTGCAAAAAAATGCGAGAAGAGCACCGAATTGAACAAAGTAAACTGCGTAAAGAATGTGGTTGAATTACGAACATGATGCATGCATGCTATACTTTCAAGTGTTGTGTACTCTGGTTGATCTCATCACGCATCAATGAAGCGAACAGCAAGTGTTCCGGTCAAATCCCCGAGAATATAAACACACGAACAAACAAATAAACGAATGAATAATTCATTATGGAAAGGTCGAGAGACGATGGTGATAACTGACGTATGGGGGGAGGGGGACTCGTCTATGTAGCAAATGTTACTTCTCACATACACGAGCGTAAGCGCGAAAGGTGGAACAATGTGTTGTTACCCAAATAGTGCGGAAAATGCTGTTCTCTTCTTTCTTATTTCAAATGTCAATACACGTGTCGACTGTCAGTGAAAAGAAACCAAAACTCACCCTCAGAGGCAACACGACGCTGTGAAGAGATGTCTCGTTTAAAACGCCAATTTCAAGCTATATGAGTCTCCATCGACTCAAGATATGCTGACATTTTGAAGCCAAACGGACGATCCCGTTCAGATTGATAAGCGCTTAAAGTCGGATTTCACGCATTTTGTAAGAAACTTAGTACTTTCAGTGTTAATTGACTTTGTTCTTTCGCCACGCTATCGATCTTAACCCTTTCTTGCCGGATGGTATCTATGGATACCATTTTTCAAAAGTTCCGTTCTCCTAAACTGGAAAAGGTATAAACATAATTTTAGACCTTATACTTTAGCCATGGGCAAGAAAGGGTTAAGCGAGTTTCAATATTGACAAAAGAATTTGAGAAGTTTTAGAGAAACGCAACAGATATTCTTTATATCTTTTTCAATCATTTTAAATAAGAAAAAACTTTTTTCATTTTTATCATTTTAAAGCCAATGAGAAAACATTTTTTTTCGAAATAAATAAATCAAATGAATTTTCCTTGATTCGAAAATATTGCCTGTATATCCTGCGTGATCATTGTTCTTTTGACGATGACTATGCATTTTCTCTTCTCTTTTCTCGATGAAGGTTGAATTGCCAGGAAAGGGTTGCAATTCGACCCTCGAGTTTTTTCTTTTCTTTTCTTTATACTGGTTAATAATCGAAGCGAGTGAAAATACGAAGCCACATGTCACGCATTGCATTTCTCTCTCAAATCATTAAAAAAGTCACTTTTTCCTGCTTGACAAGTCTTCTTGTGTTGTTGTTTGTAACATTTCACGGCCCCACTGAATGATTGTTTGAACGTCGGGTGTTGTTTGGACAGTAGTACCAATATCCAAATCATATGATTGCCATTGTTCTAAACTAGGTTGTGTACTTGTACCATTGACGTTACATGTAAATACAACTTGTGCACCAGATGGAATATAGATTTTATTATTTGCTAAATAAGGTACAAATAGATTCGCTGTATCACAATTTCCAATAACGTAGGGTACCGGATTCTTATAGAGTATACAAGTATTCTGGATCCAAATTTCATTCCAACCACTAGAACCACGTTACTGCCGAAATCGCCTTTATTTGCATCCGGATACACATAAATTTGATGATGATCTATTTTTGAATGACCTAAAAAATTTTTCTTCCCACCATATACGTGAAAATTGTAACTATCTTCATAGAAACAGCTACCATCGTCATGATCAATGGGCCATAGAGCGTTGTAATTATTGAAGAGCACGTTATGATGAATGTAGCTTTGATGCTGCCAAAGTGAAGGTAAGCCAGGTTGCACTGCATCGCTCAAAAATGGTTGTCGATCCCATGTATTGATGGGTCCATGATCACTAGTTTCTCGCACAGTATTGAACATAACATTCCAACTAACAGTATGATTACCATAGTAACCGTCATTGACATTGATTGCCGCTCGCGGTGTATTGAACATGAGATTGCCGACGACAGACACACTCCTACTTACAGCAATCAGTACTGGTGATGATTGCTTGATATAGATACCGGTCTCATGTATGAGGTTTGACTGTATGAGTGTATTGTCAGGTTGACTAGCGACGCTAAAACCATCGATTCCATTCGTGCTGCCAACAAGAATGATAGCCGAGTCGGCCAACCATACGAATTCACTCAATGTGATAGAAGTAGCGACGTTGTGATCAATCAAAGCCACACCATTGCTACCCAGTTGTGTGAATAAATTGTGTGTAATGGTGACATTTTTCGTATTTGTCAAGTAAATAGTGCCACCTCGATGAACGGCCCAATCACCACCGCCTGGCACCATGTAATCTCTCATATAGGTACTACTTGTTTCTGTCAATATCAAACCTTGTATCAGTACATTGTTGACAGCATCCTCCATACTACTGCCACTCATGGAAATGAGACAAGGAATTTGACTGGCTACAAAAACTTGAGGCATAGTTTCGTTGGGCATAAAATAGAGAGTGCGAGTATCTTTGTTCAAAAACCATTCGTTTGGTGAATCAAGCTCTTCGAAAATGTTAGCAACATAATATGCACCACCATCACTAGAACCTCGTGCTTCTTGAAATCCTCCTCGACCAAATACGATCGTATTTTCGGTGCTATTGATCGATGCTATTTCGAATACCCAACTACCCCAATAACCAGCGTGAAAAGCGTGCACGAAACCAGTCGTAGGGTTACTCCAGCTACCAATGTGGAGCAATGTTCCATTTTTCACGGTGAGACCACGAGGAACGACATAATTATCACCTGCAGGTGGTGCGGCTGTGCTCCAAAAATTGGTAGGCGGATTGAAAACAGAAGCACCACCACCTAAACCAAGTTGATAATTTGTAAATACTGTGCCGTTGCGGTAAGGTTCTTGAACATGAATTTCCACGCTACGATTAAAACTCGGTGGCCACCATCTTTGTGCATCGAAAGAGAATCCGGGATCTTTGGCATATAAGCCTTGAGTAGAAGGATCACCATTAGGATATTTAGCAACAATGGCTCTTTTGCTATCAATATATAACTCGTTAAACTGATCGAGTTTAATATAAGATGGTATTTGAGCTTTCATAATTGTACCATCAACTGCAGTTTTTGCATGAACCGACCATTGCAGTTGTAATAATGCGCCACCACTCAATACGACACGCTCATCCTGATAATTTTCGATTACAAGATTACTATCATTACTTGTCAGAACGATCGCACCAATTTGACTACTTGTCGTAGAAGCATTCGTTCCGAGATAGTAAGTTCCTCCACGTATGGTAATGCATAATGTATGATCACTACTGTGCACGGTACGCAGAGTACGGGTGAGAGATAAGGCGGCTTGAATGGTTTTCATGGGCCTTTCAAACGTTCCATCAAACAAGTCATGACCTGTTACGCTGCGTACAAACACTGTGCGGTGACAAATGCCTTTTTTAATTTTTTGCGCGGTCTCAAACGATTTAGTGGCTCTGGACGATTCATAAGCATGATGTGTCGTTTCATAGCATTCACTCATTTGAAAGGCGCTTTCACTTAGTGCTGTCCAGTTGCTTTTCCAGAATGAAGGTGCAATATATGTAGCCATCTCAATTGTAAAGGCTCGAAGCGCACAGTCATCCTTGAGAACGACATTGGGATTATCAACTCTGCCATGACGAGGACCAGCTTTGGTTAAACTGCCTGATGTGCAATTGCTATCCGGGTCAGTAATTACGCTGTGTAAGATGCACACCAAGACTATCAACGCGAGTAATATAAAAAGTGAATATATCTTGGTTTTATTGACGCTGTTGATCTATAAAAAAAGGAAGAAGAATATATATATTTTCTTTCACAACAACCGACCTTCTGTCAGATGTGTGCATACTTGATAGCATACCTCAAGATGAGATGTATTGTCGCTACCAATGTCTAATCTATACGACTTCTACTGCGCGGAAAATTTTGTTCGCAACAATCACTCTTATCATAGCCCTTATTTGCGGTAGTTATACGAAATTCTCTTTTTTAAATTAACATTTCTCGTTAAATAATTATTTTCTGAATTAATAGCCAGAATGATAATAACTGAAATAAAAAATACAGTTCCATGGCAGACAGGATGCAGAGTTTTTAATAATGTATGTGCCTGTAAACCATTTCAAAAATCTGATTTAATAGTCAGTCGATCGATGTTAGTTTGCTAGTTAAAACAATGACAGTAGCGCATATTTACCGTCATTTTTGTTTGACGATCCAAATAATTATCTTCTATGAAACGTGATTCTTATTTTAGAAGATGATTGTATTTTGGTTTATGAATTGTACAAAGTAAATTGCCAATAGTACATAAATAGCTACGCATTTTATCCATATGAGCAACTTTAACCATGGTGCAAAAAATAAGCCAATAGCATGGCAGTCGCTGTATAATCAAAATGAGAGGGGTCGCTCTCTTTTATGAACAGAATGTGGATGAAAGAAACAGGCGTAAATACTTAATAGAGACTTATGAAAACACATGGAGTCTAGTTTTGTAATGTCTCTGTTCCTTATTTTCAACCATATACCAATTTGTTGATCGAGTCTCGATGATACCGATTGGCCCATGTGATGGTCATCTCAAGCCAACAACATTCTTTTGTACTTTTGATATCACTGATCTATATACCAGGCTACCACACGAGCAATCACTGAATATTCTAACTCAATTTCTTGTTCAACATGGTTATGGTAAAGTGAAAGGAATTCCTGTTGATGCTATTCGCAAGTTGGCTCGAGTCGTACTAATTGAAAACGCTTTTGTCTACGATAAGACATTTTATAAACAAATCATCGGTGGTGCCATGGGATCGCCATTCACATTGACTTTGGCCAATATATTCATGTGGCATTGGGAAAAAAACTGGCTCATCAACAGATATCACTGAAAGAGATCTATGGCCGGTAAGTTGTCATCATTATGTATTAAAATTATTTGTGTTAATTATTGATATATCTATTAATCGATATATTGATGATATTTTCTTCACATCAAATGAATCACTCGAAACAATTCATACTATGCTTGATCAAGCCAATGATTATCATCCAAATATCAAATTAACGCGTCAGATTGGCCAAAGTGTTCCATTTCTCGATGTTCTTGTTAGCAATCACAATGGTATCCTGTCGACATCAGTCTTCACAAGGAAGCTGTAGAACCTTATGTGATTCCGTTTATATCGGACCATCCTCGACATGTCTTCAGTAATATCGTGGAAGGCGCTCTCTTTCGAGCTGTACGATATTCCTCGACACTGAACGCTTTTGATGAAGAAAGACGTTCAATTAGATTGATGTTACTTTATAATGGGTAATTGTTCCATTCTTTGATTCAAATGTTTTACTGTTTGTATAGATATCCATCGACATATATCAATGCCAAATTCAAGAAATTCTTTACCAAGTACTCATCATTCTCGTTTGATCTATTACCGTTGATTGACGACGAAAAAGGGTTCTTTAAAATGCGTAAAGTATTCTTTAATCAGCCGACTACCAGTGAATCTCAGACAGCCGAGAGAGTAGCTACAGCCGATGTAGACAACGACAGACTGAATGATGAGAGAGAGTTGAAACAAAAATACAAAACAGAAGAGTCTGTCGATCGTCTGATAGTTCATACAACATATGAAAAAACGACTGGAAGACATTCAGCGAGATATTCATCAAGTTTGGTCTATGACATTTACAACTACCACAGCCGTGACTACGAAAGTAATTGTGGGTACACGAAATAGCCGATCTTCCAAAATGGAACTTGTTCGAACACATCCGCTATCATCGTTGCTCAAAACAGGAAAGAAGAGAGGTAACTGTACAATGTCACTTTACCTCAGCTTTCTGATTTCCTTCCACCATTCTCCCTTGTTTCTGTTCAATAGGTTACATTCGTTCTTCTCGAACAAAGGATCTGTGATACGCAACGATAACGTAGTGTGACATTCTTTCTACACTATGCATAAATATTTCTTAATCACTCTTCATTAATATTACCTTTTTATCCGTAAAATCGATGCATGTCTGGCAAATAAATCAAATCAACTTCCATTGAACCACAACTATTTTCACAGATAGTCTCACTCCTGTCCTTTTAGATACATGATTAAAGCTACCAGATTTCTTCAACATACATAGGAAGCTGGTAAATATATTATCTAAGACACTTCAAAATCATTTATTCTGCATCAGCCATTACTTTCAATATTACTTTTATTCCAAAACAACTACTTACTGTAGCATCTTCTCCAGCCTAATCGGCCCGCAGGTCGCGACATTCGCAGCACATACTCACCTCTGTGATTGTGATGACATTACAACTGACTCTCGAGTTAGATGTAACAGAGCACCTTATTGTCTCTGGTGAGATTTTTCGAAATCAATAACTTGAGACAATATAAAGGTTTACTCTTCTGATAAGAGTATCCGAAATCAAGCCATCTGATGAGAATTCCTTGAGCAGGAGTCGAAACCGGTCATGGCAGCTCATACTCACCCTCGAGAACCTTATGTGATTCCGTTTATATCGGACCATCCGCGTCATGTCTTCAGTAATATTGTGGAAGGTGCTCTCTTTCGAGCTGTACGATATTCCTCGACACTGAACGCTTTTGATGAAGAAAGGCATCACTCCTCCTCCTTCCTTTGTCGAGAGCAGGCGCAGAAACGTTTGCTTGCATTCTTTTTCTGACGTCATCATTCCCCTCCTGATATACGTATGAGGAGAGGAATGCACGTTAATTACCGCTCTTACCGCTCTAATGAGAATCGCGGTGTGACTGGTCATACTCCTCAGGACCGTTATACCGTCCAACAAGAAGCTCGATTTAACACACACCAGCAACATCGTCAATCGGCGTCGTTAGTGGTATATAATAATCAAGGAACAACAAGTGAAAGGAGCAGTTTGGCAAATACGTATAGTTTAGAAGGAATGATTGCATATATCCGCGATAATCCAAGTGCGGCTCTTGGTGTACATGAACACCTCACTTACGCACAATATCCGCGAAATCATAATGTGCCGCTCGTATCGTCTACACCTCAAACTCCGAAACGCACTCTGGAAACCAGTGCTAATGATGGTGCCCAAACAGCCAAACAACAACGAGTACAGTCTAACGGCAATCGACAAAATACTGATCGAATAAATTCGCCAATCGCTCCTCAGCTCGTATGCCAACCAAATGCTCAACAAAATCAGGTAACATTGCAACACAAACGAATACAACCTCAACAACATCGTTTGCCGTTCGATCAATTGAAACGCGCTGTATCGAGTAATTTACCATGCTTTCTAGTCGAATACAATCCATCGATGCCCCATCAAGATCGACCATCTGATGTAACAACGGCCAGAATGATTGAAGAACATTTCTTGCGACATGGAATTTCGATCACGTTTTCACTCGTCGGTCATGTAGGTAATAAATTGAAACTTGGTGTTAATAATAAAGAGGTTTATGCAACGTTAAATACAACCGATAATTGGCCATCGCAAATTAACAACATCGCTATCACAGTGATCAAACCAAAATATATCCCTGATTCATTCGCTCTGGTTGTTCGTTATGTGCTTAACCAGTATGACGACGAATTGGTAAAAGACGAAATTCAACAAAATCTACAATCAGCTGAAAATATAAAAAGAATTCGATACTCGTTCCAACGGAAATCAAACGACTTTCGGTTCACCGTTAAAGATCTTCGCGAATACAATGCTACGCTGAAACTAGGCCGAATATCAATTGGCAATACGCTCTGTATTATCACCCCCTTTTTGACAGGAAATCGTATGACATACTGTACGCGATGCTGGTGTTTAGGCCATATGTGAGATAAGTGCGAGATGGAGCACACTCGCTGCCGCATATGCTTGGAAAATTTATCGGAAGGATAAATGCATACATGTTCGAAAGAAGTTCGCTGTGCTCAATGTGATGGAGCACATCACTCGTTGTCAAGTGAATGCGTAAAAGTAGTAGAATATCGAACTGAATTAAAGGAACAAGTGAACAAGGCGTTATCTGAAGGCAAAATCCATCAAATGATCAAATGATGCTGATTGTTGTGTAGATAATTGTTCAGATGACATGGATGATGATGATGATGGTAAATGTAGTTAACATGGTGGAACATAACATGGTCCACGATTAAGAAATAATAATTGTTCAGCTGATAGATGATGAGTAGTTGTATTGATAATAATTGTTGGTGAACAGCCAATATGTTTATAATTGCTCCGACGGCTCACATCGTCTTCTTGGTCACTACCGCCGGAGCAATGGCGAAAAAACGAGCTTTCAAATCATGGACAGTTTTTATTCGTTCATCAATATTATTGACACGTCGTTGTATAATGTCACACATACTTTTGCTTAATCGATCATCTTCCATACCAGTATGTTGATTATCTCGGAATTTTACCTTTTCTATATCATATTTCGTTTGACATTCACGTGCTTTGGTTTCAGCTGCCATAATATAGACAAACATCATATCCGATTTGATATGTTGAATCACTTTTTCGTATTGTTGCATAATATATAAACGACTATTTTGATCGGTGATACCATTTGTTGATGGTGGTGGATGAATTGGTGGTACATGAAATGATTCTAGTAGACGATTTGATGCCACGCGTTGTTTCAAAATTTGTAGTTCATATTTGCTTTGTTCTCTTTCGTATCGAGCTCTAGTAAAATTTTCGAACATATTTGAGTGATGTTGAGTAGGTAAACATTTTTGAAATTCCAATTCAAGCTTTTCCTTCAATTGGAATTCGAATCGATCGAAGTCCTTGTTCTTCACCGAATTGTACAATGGCATCTTCAATTTCCTTGGTAAAATTTTTGAGACGATTCTTTTCCTCAGACAATTGTGCTTGAAATTGTGTACTTTTTTCTTTCGATGAACGATACATGAATGTTTCTTGGGTCAAGAAATCATGCGTCAACTTTTGAAAAGACCGAAAACGGACGAGTAAATGTGTTACTTTTTCTTGTGAACAGAATGATTTGTTCATGTGGTGTCTGTTGTGTTCTAGAACTAAGGCCAAAGACAACATGGCACTCTATCAACATTCGACACGATGTCAAGCAGCAATACAAATCTTTTTAGATTTGAAGCCTCAATATTGGCGATTTGCGCCCATACCTAAGGAAGAAGCCGAGAAACCCGAAGAGAAATTTATCTCTCATGCACCACCAACGACAATCTCGATGGCCAATGGAACAGCATTCAAACGAAACGGCTGAAGAAGCCATCAATATGCTTTTACAGGTGCCTAGACCACCCGAAGGCTATTGTTATTCAAATCGACAACAACTGGAACAATTTGAATATTTTCGGGATGGTGAAGATGAAAAGATGCCAAACTTGGAAGTAGATTTGTACGATGTAGCCTTAGTTGCTGTTCGTAAGTAATCGATGATTCGTCTATGTTGACGGATGACAAGCATTCGTTGATTATCTCTATGATCTATTCATATTTGGTGATGTCTCTGTCTAGTGCCCGAGAATGGTTCAGATGAATTGCGACGACTAGTTGAAGCACTTTTCATTACTCATGCCGAAACCAAACTCAATTCATCAGGTCGTCTAGTCGGTAACTATATGGATATGTTAGAAAACGTTGTATTCATAGATTACGAATATAATCTTACTTTTGCAAAAACCTTGTTTCTAAGTCAAAAAAGTGGATTTTACGTAAAAGTTAGGCAGCTTTTACCTCTCATACCAGATAATAAAAAAGTCATAACTCCGTTAGGAGAAAATATTTGTCACTCATATTCTCAGGATTTGTAGCTCAAAATGTCAGGATGTTTTCCTGAAGGTTTGGTCTTGCGGCAAGGCTTCTGAGCTGAGCTATATCAATTTTATTAAAGGCATTCTTAATGCAGAAAATACTTTTTTCCTACTTTTTCAAATTTTTCTCTCGCGGTTTATGTGCACATAATACACTAAACATATACCAAGATAGAGTAAGTCTTGCTAAATCGACTGGTATATGAAATATTCTCATTCAGTTAGAAGAGAAAGCTAGAAAACACCATCTTTCCTCTAAGTACCAAAAATTCCCAAAATTTTTATTTTTCAAATAATTTTTGATGAAATGATTTCCTAGACTAAAACGACATACCGTTGGGTGCGCCTTGATGAGTACTATCTACACACATGATTTCATGATAAGCGGATGAAGAAAATTAAACCGGCGGTATCCTTTGAGACTACAAATTAATTTAAACTAATTTTCAATACCAAATTGATGTATATTATTTTTCGTTGAAACTAATTTTTGATTGCAAATTGAGTTAAATGCATTTCTATGAACAAATCCATTTAAATTGGCTTAAAGAAAAATAATATACATCAATTTGGTATTGAAAATCAGTTTAAATTAATTTGTAGACTCGAATTTGTTTGAAGTGCTTTAAACAAAATTAATTTCTATTAATTTCTACTTGCAAATTATTTTAAATCAATTTATAATAACTAATTCAGTTAAATTGATTAAGAAAACATTTGCTAAAACTAATTTTAAATTTATAATTAATTTGAACGAATTCCTGTACCCAAAATTAATGTAAATTAATTTCAAGTTTTTCAAAACAAAAATAGATACTTATTTTGGTTTAGAAACATTTTCAAGAATTTCTGAGACTGCCGTTGGATTTCTCGCCAAAAGTTGCTTCGGGAAACTTAGCCTTTAACTATATCAGATATACTATGGGACTTTGGGTTTTTTCTTAAGCGTTTTGAAAAATATATTGAAATCTTCATCAAATAGTTTGAACTAACTTAGTCTCAAATTAATTTAAATTAATTTTTAACCAAAATTTAATGTAAACTAATTGACAAGTAAATCGATTTAAATTGATTTGAATCTGAATTAGTTCTGACCAATTTTTAATTTAAAATTATTTTTAATTAATACTTTTCCAAACCAATTTAAAGCAATTTGAAATTACACGTTTGTTTAAATTAATTTGGTAGGAAATTGGTTACGATAAGCTTCAAAAAATGAGTTCAAATTAGTTTTAAGTTTTCGAATTAATTTAAACTAATTCGAAATTCGAAATCCGTTTCACTTAATTTAATATGAGACTTTGTGTGATGCGGGTACGACACGAGGGAAATTCATTTTTTCACGAAAACATCAATTAAAATTAATTCCAGTTTTTTTTCGTTTTTTAAATTAATTTGAATTAAATTTCGTGGTTTGTTTTTATATTCATTCAAAAATTTAAACTGATGCGAATTAATTTTGAACGTAAAACGTTTTTCCAATTAATCTGAACGACTTTCCTTTTAAATTTGTTCAAATTCCTTTAAATCTCGAAATTAGTTTAAATTAATTTGAAATTATTTAAAAGTTCCTATGGGATAGTCTATGATATCTCAAACATTCGTTTGCGAAAGCGATTTTGTGTTTATGTAATAGACTTCCTAAAATGTAATATGTTTTGAGATTTTATTGAAAACTTGCTGTAATAGCATTTTCGATTTCATAACGATTTTGATGTTTTTAGGATGGTGGACCGTTTGGGATATGGAATGTTGTCACTTATTCAAAGATATTTCTATTACGTCTAACGCTGTGGAAGGGATTAATTTGGTGTTTAAAGAGTTGACGAACTGGAAAACAATTTCGGTCGATCGCCTTTTATTATTGATGAACTTCCTTCAAGGATTTTATTCGAATGAAGTTTGCCGTGGGTTTTGTGGCATTGGTGAGTGAAGAAGTTTTTTTTCGGTCATGGTTATCTAAAATTTCTGGTTCTTTTAGGTGGCTATAGTTTGAAACCTGGATATGCTCGTTTTCAAATGGATGTGTGTACACTGAGGTTGCTCGAAGATTATACACCAGAAGTTGTGTTACAACGTGTACGAGATTTGGATTTAACAACAGAGACGAATGATTTGTTTCCAGCTAGACAAATTCCATTAACAAGTGTTCAACTGTCGGAAGCGTTCATCAATGTGGATCAAGTGGAATTAACCAAAAGTGGTATGTTTTTCTTTTTTAAGTAGTGGTCGACTGCTCCTTTCGTAAAATAGAATCTCTCCTATTTTAGGTGTTTACGTTGTGTCACAACGAGATCATAATACCAAAATGGTGACACTATTAGAGAAGGGTTTATACAACTGCTCTTGTGGATATTTTCAAAAGTGTAATAAACACAGTGATTGTATACATATTATAGCAGTCAAACGGCGTATGAATTTATCGTTGAAACAACCAACATCAGCACCAACTATCGCCTCAGTTCGACGAGGCTACAGAGCCGAGCTGGGTGTTGGTAGAACGGGAAACAAACAACCTACAGTGTTGGACAAAGAAAATGTAAGTTCAATCTTTGTTACTCCCAAACAAGCTTTAAAAAGTCTTTTTAAAGGATGATGAAGAAAAAAAAGAACCATCCAAATCAAGGAAAGAGAAAAAAGAATCTACACGAAAGGTATACTCGTTCACTACGTCTTCTAATAAAACTTTTATCTGGTCTTGGGCTTCATTTAGCGTACAAAATCTACAAGGACGGCTACCAATGATGACATTCAGGAAGCTCTGCCTCCGACAAAGGTAAGAAGATTTTTTTAATAGTCTTTATCATTTTTGTTTTTGAATAAGTCAGCTGAAGGGCAATTATGATGACATCTCTTACACTGCTGACTCGGCTCCTGTGCTAGCCAGGTCGACTTTGTCAAGTGAAATACATGAGTAACTTAATAATTTTGCGTTAACTAACTCGACCTGATTAACGCTAAAATTATTCTGACTTTTATTTATTCAGCTAAATCTTGTTTCCTCTTTAGCTTAGGTGACTTAGAGAAAGGATTTTACTTGACAGTTTCATACTATATTTTTTGCTTTTTCTGTGCCACCATGAAAACAACTCATCGTGATTATTATTCTGTTTGTTTTAGAGAAAAGCCTTATGTGACTCCACCAATCAACTCACTGCTGAAAAACAATGAAGAAAAATATAATAGAAAGATCAAATATAGTTCAATATGTTCAATCTGACCACTATCTATCCCAAAATATAATGCTGTCGGTTGTTCACAAAAACAATAAAAGATAGAGACATGCGGTTTTCAGCAATCGAAAGACGATAGTTCAAGCTATATTTTAACAACAAAATCATCTTTCGAA